AAACTGTACTTTTTACAGTAAATTACTGTAAAAAATCTAATTCATCAGTATACTACTGTAATTAATTCATTTTAATATATTTCATTAGATTTGATTATTTTTATACATGTTGTATCATATGGATTTATCCTAACAAAGAATCTTTAGGCAACAGAAACATAATGGGGAAAAAAGATAAGCAGCCAAAGAATACATAGCCATCTGCAAAACCCAGGTGCTGCTCCAAAGCGTGGCACCCACCTTTGCTCACCACCCACTTTGTTTGTGACAAAAAAAGTGTCTTCTCTGAAAAACAAGTAGAAATGGCACACTTTTAAAAGGCAAACCCCATATAGAATACACAAATCTCTCAAAACCATAGTTGTTCTCTTACCATGAATTATCAGTCTCAGGGTGGTTGGCATGCTCATGTCTTCCTTGATGCTTCATTGTAGTTGCCTTTAAAACACAAACACAAAAAATGCAGTAAATTTTAAATTCTATTAAAAACTATAACAAACAAATTCTAAAACTAGAAAGGCAGCTAGCCATAAAACTAGTTTAACTAGCTAACATACGATTTTATTTTCTCAATAGGCTACTGGTCAACATTACCTACTAACACCTGAATTATCTTGTTAATACAAGATAAGCGTTGCTCGTTAAAAGTAATTTTAATTCGGTAATTCAATAAGCTGACAAAAGTCGTTTGAAACGACAGCATAGATTACCATAGTAAAGTTTGTTACCGCTATGTTGACGGGTAAATGTTACTAGGTTAAACTGGTGTGCAAAAATGTTGACACAAACAGACAGACAAACGTACATATATTTTTTATCTTGCTTACTGGTCTTATTCTCTCGTAAGGTGCATCGACACAGCGTAGATGTTCTCCGGAACTCTTCCACTCTCGCTGCCGCGCTGGTTCCGTGTTTTTCTCGGATGCGAGTGGCGCGGCGCGGCGCGGCGCGACTCGACAAAAGACAAAATAGAACCTATTATACTATCTACAGTGGACGCGGACAGTAAAGTGAACCTGCGGTATATTTCTGACACACAGATGTACTCCAAGCACTTGCGCGGTTTCTGACACGAAGGACAAACGGATTTTCCAATCATTACAAAAGATGTAACATCCAGTGTAGTCAGTTCCAAGCTGTTGCGGCGTTGTAGACACAGTGCAAGTCAAATCTTGTCAATCCAAATGTGAGAAATTAGGAAAATAAAGCAGCCTGAATAGAATGGTGCCAAAGAGACCGTTACCGCAAATACAGTAGCAATTTTAAAAAATACAGTAAGTCACTGTATGTGGGGTTTGACGCCACAGAAAATTCCCATGATGCAAAGGGTATTACAGTTACTTACTGTAAAGCGAATTTGCAGTATTATACTGGGTGATATTGATATACAGTAAATAACTGTAGAAATTAGAGAAATGTCTAATAGTGTACTCATTACCACATGCACAAGTTTGTTCTAATTAATTCCTTAAAGTTCAATACATCAGCATATCAGATGCTGTTTATTACCACTAAATTTTTTTTTTGACATATCAGTTTGTAAAGACAAGCAAAAGCCTGTTTACAGTAATGAAAAAATATAATAGAAGTCTGTGGGGAAAGTGTAGAGGACATTGTTTTAGTATTAAGGGTCATATTATAGCTTTATAGAATATTTTGAATATATGTTCTATTTGGAATATGTGGTCTGTTTTAATTTTAGATGATTTTGTTGTTTTTGCCATTGGTCCTTTTTTTTTTTTTTTTTTTTTTAAATATCTATATAGAGGTCTGATGCAAAAGCCTAAGTGCCTTTTGAAATTTTCTTCTAAAATGAGCATTTTTCTTAGACTCGTATGTTTATGTTCAGTTATTGTGGTTTTGTGAGACAATATGTTGAAAACGGTCGGGTTGACAGAAATCAGACATGCGCAAGAAACACTCTGTACTCCACAGACGAGAAAGAATCATTGGTTTCATTTTGCGTGTCTTAAAGTTTAATAAAAGCACTTTAAAGCCTCACAATTAAAGGCTAAATCCACACTGTCAACATCCGTCCCTGCGGCGCGGCGCTTACAGCAGAATGAACGAGTCCCGCAGGGCCACAGCTAAATTAAACTCAGATCAGGGAACAGAGCAAAACCCGTGGATTTACAGCGAGATGAAGGAGAGTCCGATAATCACAGATAACAGTGAACCGAGAGAAAAGATGGAGAACATCATGTCGTCTGAATAAATATGCAAGACAATTATATCACTGGAAACGTGAAGTGCTTTTGTTGGCTGATGAAACATCAGCAGGCCACTTTCATCTACATCTTCATCTATGATAATGACTCGACAAAATATCATGTGATGATGGCTTGAGTGTCAAATTTCTCAATGATGATCTAGTTTATTGCAAAAATGCAAACATTTCTCATAATGACTTGAGAAAAATTCCTGTAATAATGACTTGGGTTCTGATCAAATTTAAAATAATTCTCATAATAATAATGTAGTTTCTCGTAAAAACTCTTTCATAATAATGACTTGGAAAAATTCACGTAATGAATTATCATATAGTTTTTCGTAAAAAAAATTCAAAATATCTCAAAATGACGCAGTTTATTGTAAAAAAATAAATAAATTCTCATAGTGACTTGAGAAATATTATGTAATAATGACTGTTTCTTGTAAAAATTCAATACATTCTCATAATAGTGACTTGCGAAATTTCATGTAATTACTTGGTTTTTCATTAAAAAAAAAAAAAAAAAATTCATAGGGACTTCAGGAAAAAATAATATAGCAATGACTTTCCCATAATAATGACTCGAGTTTAATGTAACTAGTTTTTTGTAAAAATTTAAATAATTCACATAATAATGACGAGGCAAATTCATGTAATAATGACTTGGTTTCTCATAAAAATTACTTAGTTTTCCATAAAAATTCCAAAATTTCACATACTAATGACTTAGGATGATCTAGTTTATTGCAAAAATGCAAACATTTCTCATAATGACTTGAGAAAAATTCCTGTAATAATGACTTGGGTTCTGATCAAATTTAAAATAATTCTCATAATAATAATGTAGTTTCTCGTAAAAACTCTTTCATAATAATGACTTGGAAAAATTCACGTAATGAATTATCATATAGTTTTTCGTAAAAAAAATTCAAAATATCTCAAAAAGACGCAGTTTATTGTAAAAAAAAAAAAAAAATTCTCATAGTGACTTGAGAAATATTATGTAATAATGACTGTTTCTTGTAAAAATTCAATACATTCTCATAATAGTGACTTGCGAAATTTCATGTAATTACTTGGTTTTTCATTAAAAAAAAATAAAAAAAATTCATAGTGACTTCAGGAAAAAATAATATAGCAATGACTTTCCCATAATAATGACTCGAGTTTAATGTAACTAGTTTTTTGTAAAAATTTAAATAATTCACATAATAATGACGAGGCAAATTCATGTAATAATGACTTGGTTTCTCATAAAAATTACTTAGTTTTCCATAAAAATTCCAAAATTTCACATACTAATGACTTAGTTTATTGTAAAAACTCAAACCTTTCTCATAATAATGACTTGAGAAATTTCATGTAATGACTTGGCTTTTCATAAAAAAATTGAATATTTCTCATAGTGACTTGAGAAAAATGAATGTAGTAATGACTTAGATTCTCGTAAAAATTCAAATATTTCAAAACTTTCTCATATTAATGACTCAAGGAGTTGTATGCAACAATGACTTAGTTTTCCATAAAAATTCCAAAATTTCACATACTAATGACTTAGCTTATTGTAAAAACTCAAACATTTCTCATAATAACAACTTGAGAAATTTTATCTAATGACTTGTTTTTTCATAAAAATTCTAATATTTCTCATAGTGACATTACAAATGTAGTAATGACTTAGGTTCTCGTAAAAAATCAAATATTTCAAAACTTTCTCATAATAATGACTTTTTACATTTCATGTAAAAATGACTTGGTTTCTAATAAAAATTCAAAACTCTCACAATAATGAATTGAGAATGTTTAATGTAATAATGACCTAGTTTCTCATCAGAATTCAAATATTAATGTAGTAATAACTTAGTTTCTTGTATAAATTGAACTATTTCACATAATAATGACTTGAAGCAAATTAGTGTAATAAGGATTTTCTCTTAAAAATTCAACACTTTTGTGTAATGACTTGTGGAACTTTATGTAACAATGATCTCGAGAATCATTTATAAAATGTTGCACAGAAACCATTCTAAATTTGATCTTACGATCATCTCTCATATATGAGTACATGTGGTTCATAGAATGAATGTATGCACAGAAAACACACGCATGCTTCTGTTTCAGATGTGAAATCTATAAATCGCAAATGATCTTGATCTTGAGTACAACTGAATGGTTTCAGCTCTCTGCCTTGTAAACGACTCCTAATTAATGTCAGTCCAAATGCTTTCATTTAGAACAGCGAGCTATAAGAACAGCTTGCATTTCCAAAAACCTGCAGTACTCCGACAAGAAACATACGTACGTCTGACGTGATGCTAAGCTCTTTTCATGTAATTTTCTCAGAAATTCAATTATTTCTTATCATAAAGTGAAAATTTAATGTAGTAATGACTTAGTTTTTCATTAAAAAATTCTGAAATTTCTCATGACTTATTTTATCGAAAACATTTTTATATTTCACATGAGTTGAGAAAGATTCTTGTAGTAATGACTTAGTTTCTCATAAAATTTCAAACTAAAAAAAAAATTACGAGAAAGCTTCTCATTAGTATGACATGCTTAACCACGATTGTGATAAATTCTCTTACAATGAGACGCATTTTGCAAAATTATGACACACAAAATTATATTTTAAAGTGGAAACAGGCTTCTATAGTGGTTAAATGAGTTTATTTGTCATAAATTAATGCATACCAAAAAAATGTCATACCTAAAAGTAGGCTTTTTATCTCATTTAAACAATGTTTCTTTCTTTTCATTTTGGGGTGAAATGAACGTGTTTTTATGAGAGTCACTCAGAGAAGAAAGAGCATATGAAAAAAGCCACATATCACGGCTTATAAAAAGATAAAGACAGTTCTTTTAATAAATAACACTGGCTTGGATCAGATTGGTGAGGGATCCGCCCCTTCAGGGAGCTCTGACTTCTGATTGGTCTCAGAGAGCAAAAGCCTCATTGATATTCATTTACATTCCATTGGTGAGTTTCATGTGACTTTACTGGACACAATAACATAAACCATAAACATAAAACTGAAACAGAGAAGTTACATTATATCAGAGTCTCCCAACACTGAACAGAAAACTGAAGACGAGTGTGTGTGTCTCTTGTGTTATTAATAGGGTTTTTGTTTAGGTGGACGCATGACCTGTAGCTATACGTGTGTGTGTGTGTGTGTGTGTGCATCGCGGCGGTCTGGACTGACACACACAGTCACATCTCTCATGATGCTGCAGGTGAATCTCCTCCAGAATCCATTGAGCATGTGTTTTCTTCCTGTAGAAACTCGGACCTGGAGAAAACTTCAGCACCTGACAACATATACACACACGAAATATTAAAAGTATATAATTTAGTATTTTTTGCTATGAACTACAACAACTAAATGCAAGAGTCAAATAAATTTAGCATTTGTTTTGCAACTAGAACCAATTTAACCAAATAGATTCAAAAACTTGTAACTATAACTAAATATAAAAAAATTTAATCAAAGTCAGGAAATGTTAACTATAATAAATAAATGTAAAATGAAAACAAAATAAGCAAGTTTTGTTCTTTAACAATTAAACATAAAAATCAAATAACTTCAAAAGAAAATTTAGTTGCTTTTACAACTGTGAGAACAATCAAATTTAACAAAATAAATTTAAGTTCAGCCAATGTTCTTTATAGACAATGTAAAGAAAATCTGTAAATTTTGTTTATAACTAAACTTCAATAAATCAAATTCTGTAAACTGTTTTTTTTTTTACTATAACAACAAAAAATCTAATTTAGCCAATTTTGTTCTTTAAGAGTTAGTTTTTAAGTCTTGTTTTTTTTTTTTTTTTACAAATAAATGTAAAGTTCAATTCAGCAAATATGGCTCTTTAACTACACCTAATCATAAAAATTAAATTCAGAAAATTTTGTTCTTTAGCTATAACGATTCAAATTGTACATGTTAACTTAACAAATAACAGAGAAATAAAGTTAAGGAAAAATATAAATAAAGATCAAGAAATAAAAAGAACCTTGCAATACACAATGAAACGTTAAAGTAAGGCTCTGGGTTCTATAGTTCTATAAGTTCTATTAAAAGTAATTTAAAAAAAATTATACAATAAACAAAAATAGCAGCAAACATTATAAAACAAGTATTTTAACTGTGTTTTCATTTGAAAACTAAACTGAAGAGTAAGTCTAAATGATTTTCTGTGTTAATGGATATTAAGCAGCAGATGCTGTTTGCAGAATTAAACCCGGAACATTCCATTAGAATGACTGTAACAATTTATTACAATATTTATTCCTTATCAAAATAACCAAAGCCAAAGCTGCAGGTGTGTCTGGAGACGATATTTGTTTGTTTGATCAGGGCAGGAAATAAAAGAGATTTATCAGTTGATTTGTCTTCATTGATTTGTTTACCAATCGATATCCGTCCTTGACCTCTAGATGTGTCGTATGTTCTGTACCGAAGCTCATATATCTCCGTGTGTGTGTGTGTGCCTGTCTCACATTAGTCAGCACTGACAGCCGCGGCCAATCACATTTAGCAGATGTTGCCGTGGGTAACAGTCTGTTATTCTACACCACAGCAGCACAGTGACAGCTCTGTGACAGCTGTCAATCACTGCAGCTGCCCGGGGCATGCTGATGTCACGTCTTTATATGCAACTACATCTCCCAGAATGCATCAGACATCCCATGAGGCTTCACTCCGATTATTAACACTAGATTGGGTCAGGATGAAATGTTACCAAGTTTGTGTGTCTTCAGTTAATGGTGTTAATATGTTGTGGAGTTAAAGCAGAATGTAGATGAATGCACACAAGCTATTTTTCAGGATTTCACTTACTGTTGACAAATAGTTCAAAACATTAATTGTTCCTGCAGCGCTACTGAATCTACAGCACCACAGCAACTGAACTAATGTTTTATATGAGTTATAAGTCATGTGACCAGCACAAAATAATAAAAACACAGTAAACAGAGCACAGACTCTTTCTATTGCATTGATAGAGACTGGAGTCACAGGACAACAAGCACAGCGCTGACCGCTGTGCAAAAACTGAAGAACTTTTATAGACATTAGAGAGACTTCTATCATATCATCTTACATATGTAAATTAATGACTAATGATGAGTGTGCATCTTTTCATATGATCAGAGTTTTGTTAATTTATACAGTATAAACATAAAAATTATATTTTATACATTTAATATATATAACAAAGTAAATAAGTAACATTTTTATAAAATAAGTATAAATTCATTAAAATTTAATACTTTTCTTACATACATACATAAGCCACTGTAAAAAAAAAAATAATAATAACATGGGACATTTAATTAAACATTATTTTGTGGCATAAATGACTGCTATCACAAATAAATAAATTAAATAATAATATTAATAATAATAATATTTTCTAGTTTTAAAAATTCATATTTCTGTAACACTTAACAAAAAGGCTACATCTGTTAACATTTTTTAACTACATTAGTTATCATAAAGTAATAATTAAAAACATGGTTACATTTTAAACATTTAAAGTATTTTAATTACAATGTTAAACATATGATATAATATAACTGATATAATTCAAATATCAACCTTGACAGTCTGAAAACACTAAATAAATAAATAACCAACCTACTCTGAACATAGTCAACAATGGAAAAAAACCGAATCAAAATTCACACAATAAAAACCAAAGAAAATTAAACAATTAAAAGACAAGTTTAAAATGAAATGGATATAAAAACTATATTCCTATATTGTCCTACACAGAGAAGGAGAATTCCTAGATTGTCCAACATTGTCCTATTAATTAAACCTTGAGGGGGTGTGTGCGTTTGTTTGGTTATTTCAGGACATTAAATAAACGGGAAAGAAGAAGAGACAGACAGCACACTTTACAGCTGTCATCAGTTCAGATGAAACGCTGCTTTGTGTGTGTGTGTCTCGATGGATTTCATGTGTCATTTGCTGATAATCTCACACAGAACGACGAGTGTCACACTGGTCACATCTGATCAGAGGAAAACAGCAGCAGACGGAGAAACAAGTGAAGGCAGACGGAGACAAGGAAAAATAAAGTGTGTGTGTGAGCTATAGGATAATGGAAAGTGAATGGATGGAGAGATACACTGGAGTTTTAGCACACAAAATACAGCATGTGTGTGTGCTTGGAGCTGATAAGTAGAGAGAGGAACACACTTCACTCGCTCAAACCTCACAGGAAAAACAAACACTCCTGACAAACACAGAATTCACCATTCCATGTCTACATAAGATGCTGTGCATACCAGTATATGTACACACACACAAACACTCAATTTCAACATTTCATGCTGAAACGCCGACTCTTGTTTTGACTGAAATCACTCATTTTGAGTTGCAAGAGCAGCATCCAGTTCCTGAGCGAGCTGATTCTTTTCAGCGAATCGCTTCACAAATCACACTAAATGATTCATTTGCACATCAGACTGATCTTATTGCAGTGATTCTTGAGTCAATAACTCGTCGATTCAATGATCTGTTTAGAGTGACGCAAAATGAGCCAAGAAGCGGTTTATCGTCACCGATCGCCTAAAAAAAGCAAGTTACTAATTCTGAATTTAGTATTGATTACTGTCAATAAAAATCATTTTATACATTTTGTCCATATGTCCACATATGTCACTGATTGCCCAGGCTAGGCGATTTAATGTAAAATAATACAAATTAATAAAAAATCTGTTACTTGCAGTAAATGTTAACTGAAATATTAAAAATGTATTTATTAAAATATTAAAATTATTTCAGCTACTTCAGCAAACATACAATTTCACATGTTCATTTAGTTTAAATAAACAAACTAAAAAATTAATGAAAAACTACATAAACATAAAAAAAGGCAAAACCAAAATTACTTAACTAAAAAATAAAAATACCAAATTCTAAAAATATAAACTCAAATATATAACTCAAAATATTAACAAAAACTAAAAGAGTATACATCAATGATACTATAATATCACTGTTGTTTATATTTTTAGATTTAAATATACACTGTTAGACTTTGCTGTAACTTTACAGTTACTTACCGCAAAAAAGTCCAGTAAACTACCATATATATGTTTTTTACGGTTAACTACTGTAATATACACTGAATTATGGGTATTTTAATGCCATTTACAGTAATTTACTGTATATGGGAATTTGCAGTAATTTACTGTTTGCGCAAAAGCAGTAGTGCTACTGTAAATTGTTCTGCAAATGAAAAACATGAATCTGCATTCTCAATATAATGTCTGGGTAAGCGCAAGTGTGGTGAAATAAATGCATTTTTTAAATGATTAAAAAATAAAATATATAAACTTTGCTTACACCCCACAAAATGTAAATTTTATTCGCACGCAAAGCGCAACAACCTGGCAGAGGTTATTTAAACTGAGGCTTGTGTTGGGTGCATGCATAACAGACTTCCCCTCTGAGTGAATCGCCACTACTAGTTATGGTGTATTTTACTCCTCAGTTCAATGAATGCCGTTAAATGTGTGTGACGTCATTTGAAATAGCATGAGCGCTCTCTCTCTCGCATGCGAGATGGGTAGGCCTATATATGTCGCACGCTCTCTCTCTCTCTCTCTCTCTTGTAAATGAAACATTTACGCCAGTGCATATAGCAGGAAAAAAATATATATTCAAGTAACAATCAATTAATTCAAGAAAGAAAATGCATTCTTTATTATGGCTTCTTGTTTGTTAATAGAAGCAAGGTCTCATCAAAGTCAGTGTTCTCTTAAAGGTGCTGTATGTAAGTTTTTGACTTTACTAAAGCATAAAAATACCATAATATGTTTGCAGATATTTAAGAAACATGATCTGAAATTTATCTGAAAAACAATGCTACAGTCAGTTATTCTTTTTTGAATATCCTTTGAATTGTATTTCGGCACCCCGGGTTGCCAGTTGCCGGAAAACAGCGTATTAAATTTCATTCATCGTCAAGTGCGCTCGTTCCTGTTGTGTGGTCAACCTGGCAACCTGCGTGTGCCTCAAGTCTGAGGAGGAGGGGCCGGGTGAAAAAAACCCTCTCCAATATTTTGAATTTGGACTGCAATACCTAGTTCAACCACTCGGTGTCAATCCTACATACAGCACCTTTAAGTTTCATATTAATTATTTTTTACATGTTATTGGATATATTATCTTCTCTCTTTTTTCAGTGTTGATTGTAATCTGATTTTGTAAGTGATCAATCTAGCAGTTGATCTTTTTGGTCAGCAGTGGCTTTTGCCTTGGAATTCTCCCATGGATGCCGTTTTTGCCCAGTCTCTTTCTTATTGTTTAATCATGAATACTGACCTTAATTGACCTTAAGTGAGGCCTGCAGTTTTTTAGATGTTGTTCTGGTTCTTTAATAACCTGGATGAGTCGTCGTTGTGCTCTTGGAGTAATTTTGGTTGGACGG